CTATTGATAGTATTGATATTGGAGGGAAAGAAATCTTTCAACAAAAACTAATTAAAGAAGCTTTTGTGGATTATTATACTAAACTATATGCCAAAGAAGAGGTGCAGAATGGACTTATAGAAAAATATTTAAAGGATAAGAGAGTTACAAAAATTACTGATCAACAAAAGGAAAGAATGAATTATCCTATAACAGAGGAGGAGATAACAGCAGCAATTAAACAGCTAAAAACAGCCAAAGCTCCTGGCACGGATGGTTTGACCGCAGTGTATTACAAAACTTTACAAGCTGAAATGGTGGGACAACTTAGAGATTTATTTTGCAATATTCAACAAGGGGGCAAAATACCCCCATCTTGGACAACTGCTTATATATCTTTGATACCAAAAGAACAAGTTGGTCCTAAAAAACCAGAGAACTACAGACCAATATCTCTTTTGAACACAGATTATAAAATTTACGCGAAGGTATTAGCCAACAGGTTGATGCCAGTAATCCAAAAGGTGATTCATGCGGACCAAGCGGGATTTATTGAGGGCAGATATATGAAGGACAATGTAAGGCAAGTAATAGACTTATTGGAATATCTTGACAAGAATAAACAGATTTCTGCAGTGCTGGTTTTTTTGGATGCGGAGAAGGCCTTTGATAGAGTGGATTGGAATTTTCTACTAAAGACTTTAAAAAAGATGGGCTTTGGGGACCAATTTATACAGGCGATCTCAGCAATTTATCAAGAGCAAAAAGCACAGATTATTATTAATGGAAGTTTGACGACAGAGTTTAAAATTGAAAAAGGAACAAGACAGGGATGTCCGTTGTCCCCACTTTTATTTATTTTAACATCGGAAGTCTTGCTAAATACAATACGGGACTCAAAAATTTTGAAAGGCATAATGATAAGGCAAGAGGATTATAGAATAAAGGCATTTGCAGATGATCTGGTGGTTACCCTATCACAACCAATGGAATCAACAATCCTGATGAACGACATTATACAAGACTATGGTAGAGTTTCAGGTTTTAGAGTGAATTCAAAAAAGACTAAAATGATAGTTAAAAATATGACACAAGATCGTAAACATGAGTTTGAAAGGAGGGCAGGTTTTGAAATTGTACCTAAGGTAAAATATCTTGGAGTTCAGGTTGCAGAATCAAACATGAAATTGTTTCAAAATAACTATGAGGTGTTGTGGCGAGAGGTTCAGAAAGACATGGAGACTTGGAAAAAGCTGCAACTGTCTTTACTTGGAAGAATAGCAGCAGTTAAGATGAACATTTTGCCAAGATTTCTGTTTTTGTTTCAAATGATTCCGGTGCTTAAAAGTGATAAACAACTGAAAGTTTGGCAAACTGGACTTAATAAGTTTGTCTGGAACGAGAAAAAGCCGAGAGTGAAATTGAAAATTATGCAAGATGTTCCAGAAAGAGGAGGCCTTAAACTTCCAAACCTACAGTTATATTATGATGCAGCAGCTTTAACTTTAACAAGTGATTGGTTTGGAAGTAAAAAGGCTGGAATATTGAATGCAGAAAGTTTTGATCTTGAATTTGGATGGCATGCTTACCTATTTTATGATGACAAAGTTGATAAAGTATTTAAAAGTCATATACTTAGAGACTCTTTGATGAGAGTTTGGAAGAAGCACCGACTCAAATGGGATTATAAAATACCGCTATGGCTGGATCTTGGTCATACCTTGTGGAATACAAATATAATGTCACTCGGGGGGTTTTTATACAAAGAGGTTCTTTTTACAGATGCGGGCAGATGGCAGCTGAAGACATTGCAGACACTGTTGGACGAAGGGATTAATTTAACCTGGTTACAATATAATCAATTACAATTGAGATGGAAAGAGGACCAAAAAACTGGTATTATGTTGCATGAGGAAGAATTGGTTAGACATATAAGAGAGAAAGGTCCAATGCATATTAAAAGGTTTTATAATGTTTTGCTAGAAAGGGATTCAGAAACGGAATTAGTTAAAGATTGCATGATTAAGTGGGCACAAAATTTTGAAGAACCAGTGATGTTGGAAACATGGGAAAAAATTTGGGTTCAGAATGTTAAATTTACACAGTCGCAGAATTTGAGGGAAAATTTTTATAAAATGTTTTATAGATGGCATTTAGATCCTAAAAAGTTGTCATGTATGTACCCTAATGTTCAGCCAAAATGTTGGAGATGCGAATGTTTGGATGCTACGTATTATCATGTTTGGTGGACCTGTAGGAAAGTTAAGGCTTTTTGGATAAAAATATGGTGGGTCATGCAGAATGTTTTGAAGAAAAAAATTCAATTTTCTCCACAATTGTTTTTATTGGGTATAGTTAAGGGTTTTACACGGGGTGAAATAAAATTAATATTGTATATGATAACAGCAGCAAGATTGTTGATAGGTAAATATTGGAAGAATGAAGCTTTGCCTACTATCGAGGAATGGACTTCGAAGATGGCCAGTTTTGCAGAGATGGCGAAGATTTCAGCATATTTAAAAGATTGTTCACAAGAGACTTATGAATGGGAATGGAAAAGGTGGATAGAATATGTTCAGAACAAATACCAAACTAGAAAGTACCAAATAGCTTTTATTTGAAAACAATGTATTAGAAATATCTTAATGTAAAGAGATAAAGAGGGAAAATTATATAGGGGGAGGGATGGGTTCAGGTATATATATCAGTGTTATTAGTTATGAGTACATAATAGGGAAGTCTGGGGGGGGAGGGTTAGGGAGGGTTAGGGAGGACGGGAAGTTTGGGGAGGGAGGTGGGGGGGTGAAAAAAGGGGTGAAAATGTAATTGTAAAACTTTTGCAATAAAAAAAAAAAAAAGAAAGAAAGTGAAACAGTATTTGAGCAAGGAAACAGGAAGGAGCCTGGCTGTGGCTTAGTTCAACTGTTCTGTAGTAAAGCTGCTTCCTGCTGTGAAAGTAAAACTGAAAGTGAAACTCCTCTCCTCTGCTTGTGTTTTGCATTTGGAACAGATTTCTTTTCAGGTGGGGAGGGGGAGTAGAACTCCTTAGCATCAGAGCCTGTTAATAATAATAATAGAGGAAATACTAATGCTCTGATGGTCATTTTGAAAAAATCCTTTCTTAGTGAGCACCTAGAAGTTAAGAGGAACATATGTGGCAAATTTCAAGTTTGTAGGCTTTACGGTTCTGGAGATTTCGTGATTACGGCGTGAGTGGTTTTTGTTTTTATATACTGTATATAGATTCATTAAACATATGCTGCCCATCTCACTCATATCTCAATATTATCTCCTGAGATACAAACTGTTTATTGGACACACCAATTGGAATGATGCAAGCTGCCCAGAATCACTTTTCAGAGTTAAATTTTACTTATTTATCTACTTGTATCCCACGTGTATTTTTTTTACAAATAACTCAAGGTGGCAAACATATACAACATACCTTTCTCTTATTTTCCCCACAATGACAACTCTGTGAAGGGGTTTGGGCTAAGAAGGATGGACTGGCAGGAAGTCACCCCGCTGCCTTTCATGCTTAAGACAGGGCTAGAACTCCCAGTCTCCTGGCGATTGGCCCAAAGTCTCCCAGGTGGCTTTCATCTCTGAGGGGGAACTAGAACTCACTGTCCCCTGGTGATTTGCCCAAAGTCACCCAGTAGGCTTTCATGCCTGAGGTGGGACTAGAACTCCCGGTCTCCTGGTGATTTCCATGAAAGTAGGCTTTCATGCCTGAGGCGGGACTAGAACTCACCATCTCCTGGTTTCTAGCCTGGTGCCTTTACCAACAGACTAAATTGGTTCTAGATGGGTGGCAAATACTTTTAATAAATAAGAAAAAGTAAAACAAAGATGGGTGGCATATTTAATAAAGGCATCTAGATGGGTGCCATATACATTTACTAATTAAATAAAAATAACATAAAATAAATGGGGAAACACCATTTATGTTACCCAGTTGTGGGTGAAGCCTTCTCTTCAAGAAGATTGATAGGAACATGTCCTTCAAAAGCCAGCAGGAACAAAGGCGCCGGCCATCTATTCCACCCACCCTCTCCAGCAATTCCTTACTTATTTGTTTCTCAGAAAGGACTCTGCTCGCCCACAACCCGGGGTAATTTCAGGTGAACGTAATTTCTCAGGTTCCACCTAGTTTTTGAAACTCGCAGTAGGACATGTTCCTCTTTGACTAGCCAGGTTATATAGGTTCCCAGGAGGGTTAGCAGAGGAAGAAGAGAGGTGGCGTCACTTCAAAGGAGTCAACCAGAGACTATCAAGCAGAGGAACAAGTGAGTGGCTTTCAAAGTTTGGTCTTTGGGGGAGCAAATTCATACCACCTTGCTAGGAGAAGCAGAGATTGGGTCTTCTTCGGCCACCTGCCCAGGTTGGCTTGCTGAGATCTTTGATGCTCTACTTAAGGGTCTTCCCTGCTAATAGCAATAGCATATACTGCTTCAGAGTCCTTTAAAGCTCCCTCTAAGCGGTTTATAGAGCCAGCATCTTGCCCCCAACCATCTGGGTCCACATTTGACCAACCTCGGAAGGACGGAAGGCTGAGTCAACCTTGAGCCGTTTAGGCGGAAGGAACAGCCAGTTCGATACTGCGTTCTAACCACTGCGCCATCACCGCTCTTCCTTCCTTCCTTCCCACTTAGCAATAGCACTTGGACTTCTATACCACTTCACGGTACTTTGCAGCCTGCTCACGGCAGTTTACCAAGCCAGCCTCTTGCCTCCAACCATCTGGGTCCGCATTTTATTCACCTCGGAAGGATGGAAGGCTGAGTCAACCCTGAACCGATCAGGATCGAACTGCTGGCAGACTGAAGAATTGGCTTGCAATACTGCATGCTGGCCACTGCTCCAACCTTGGCAACTTTATGACTTGTGGACTTCAACTCCCAGAGTTCGTCAGCCAGCAAAGCTTCCAACTCTGTTATTGGCCTGCAACTGGTTGATTCAGAGGCAAAAATACAATTTCTCCTCCTAAAATTCCTTTTCTCTTTCTTTGCTCCCTGCAGATGGAGGCCCTCTCGACTTTCCGTCTCTTCTTAGGTGGCTTCCTGCTGGCCGTCTCCCTTCCAGCAGGTAGGTCCTTCTGCCCACCTCCCCGAATTCTGGTAGAAGACCGAGCCGCATAAAAGCACCGCTGAAACGGGATTGTTGCTCGGCGGGCTTTTAACACTGTAAACTGTGAGATGAAGCGCAGAGCCCCAAAAGTAAATATTGGTCAGGGAGGTTAGGATGAGAGATGGGAGGAAGATTTTTCTTGCCCTTACATGGCGAAGTTCTGAAATCAGAATAAACTTCCTGGGGTGGAGGACAGAGAAAATAGGGATATCGCTGGTCATTAGATCCTCGGCGTAACTTAAGAAGCATCTACAGAAATATTTCATTAATACTATTCAAGGAGAGAAGCAACCTAGAACTAAGGAGAAATTTACTGACAGTGAAAACAATTAACCAGTGGAACAGCTCACCACCAGAAATTGTGAATGCTCCAACAGTGGAAGTTTTTAAGAAGAGGTTGGACAACCATTTGTCTGAAATCTTATAGGGTTTCTTACCAAACAGGGGGTTGGACTAGAAGACTGCCAAGGTCCCTTCCAACATATTCTATTCTATTCTATTCTATTCTATTCTATTCTATTCTATTCTATTCTATTCTATTCTATTCTATTCTATTCTATTCTATTCTATTCTATTCTTCTTTATCCTCCATTCTATTCTAATCTTTATTCTCCATTCTATTCTATTCTGTTCTATTGTTCTATTCTATTCTCCTCTATCCCCCATCCTATTCTCTATTATTGTTCTGTTCTATTCTATATTTTATTCTGTTCTGTTCTATTCTGTTCTATTCTTTTATTCTCTATTCTATTCTATTCTATTCTATTCTATTCTGCATTCTATTCTATTCTATCCTATACCCCATCCTATTCTATTCTATTCTATTCTTCTTTATCCTCCATTCTATTCTAATCTTTATTCTCCATTCTATTCTATTCTGTTCTATTGTTCTATTCTATTCTCCTCTATCCCCCATCCTATTCTCTATTATTGTTCTGTTCTGTTCTATTCTATATTTTATTCTGTTCTGTTCTATTCTGTTCTGTTCTTTTATTCTCTATTCTATTCTGCATTCTATTCTATTCTATCCTATACCCCATCCTATTCTATTCTATTCTATTCTATTCTATTCTATCCTATACCCCATCCTATCCTATCCTATCCTATCCTATCCTATCCTATCCTATCCTATTCTATTCTATTCTATTCTATTCTATTCTATTCATCTGAATATGAGTGTGTGCTTAAGGAGTTAAGAGAAGTTAGAGAAGGGAGCATGATCATCAGTCTAGTTGTAGGATGAGACTATAGGTAATCTTTAGTTTACAAACATTTGTTTAGTGACCCTTCCAAGTTACAATGGCGCACACAAAAAAGTGATTTAGGACCATTTCCCCCCACCCCTTCCAACCATTGCAGCCTCCCCACGGGCCTGTGATCAAAATTAAGGTGCTTGACAACTCGCTCATATTTAAGATGGTGGCAGCGTCCCGGGATCAGGAGCCCCCTTCTGTGACCCTTTGCCAAGCAAAGTCAGTGGGGAAGCCAGATTCACTTAACAACAGGGTTACTAACTTAACAATTGCCGTGATTCGCTTAATTACTGTGGCAAGAAAGATTGTAAAATAAGGCAAAACTTACTTAACAAGCGTCTCGCTTAACAATGGAGATATTTAGGCTCACCTGTGGTCGCAATTCAAGGACCGGTTTTCTGTCATTCTGTTATTTTATCATCCTATTATTCTACCATTCTGTTATTCTAATGCAGTGTTTCTCAACCTTGGAAACTTGAAGATGGGTGGACTTCAACTCCCAGAATCCCCCAGCCAGCACCGCTGGCTGGGGGATTTTGGGAGTTGAAGTCCACCCATCTTCAAGCTACCAAGGTTGAGAAACACTGTTCTAATGTAACATTCTGCCATTCTGCCATTCAGTTGTTATTCTGTCATTTTCTTATTCCGTTGTTATTCTGTTCTGATTGTTATTTTGTCATTCTGATCTAACATTCTGTCATACCGTTATCCTGCCCGTCAGTCTGTCATTCTGTTGTTATTCTTTCATTCTGCCAATCTGATCCGAGTGTGGCTGTTCACTTGGGCTGGGACCATAAGCTAATGCTGGGAACGCGGGGAACCCCACCCCAGGGGTGAAAATGTAAAATTTGTTACTACCGGTTCTTTGGGCATGGCTTGGTGGTGGTGGGGTGTTAATGTGACTGGGTGGGCATGGCCAACTTTTTTTTTTTTTAACTTTTCAAAGCATTTTTTCTAATGCTTTGAAAAGCCTCTGCCGATCAGGCAACTCAGCTGGGATCATCAGAGACTTTTGAAAGCATTTTTTTAACCACCTCTTCGGCCAAGAGGTTGCAGAAAAAAATGCTTTGAAAAGCCTCTGAGGATCCCAGCTGAGCTGCGTGATCATCAGAGGACTTTTTTTTTTTTTTTTAGTTTTAAAAGCATTTTTTCGGCCGAAGAGGTTGTAGAAAAAATGCTTTTAAAAGTAAGGGGAAAAAAAAAAAAGCCTCTGATGATCGTGCGGCTCAGCTGGGCATTGGGGGGGGGCAGGGATTTTTGCTACCGGTTCTCCGAACCACCCGCCTCCATCGCTACCAGATCGGGAGATCCGGTCCGAACCGGGAGCACCTAACCCCTGCCCCACCCTGAACATGGCCTGAGTGAATTTCCTTCACCCCTTTGCTTCTTCATCAGCCCCGTCTGCTTTCAGCCCAGATCGAGCTTCTGTCCTCTGCTTACAGGTGCCGAAGCCCTCGAGTGTCCCGGAGGATGGAGGCAGCTCAAAGGATACTGCTATGGCTTCTTCAACCTGAAAGTGACTTGGATGAGAGCGGAGGTAAGGAAAAGGCCAGGCTGAACAGGTGGGCACGGTTCCCAAACTGCTTAATCCCAGGTACAGGTAGTCCTCGATTTACAACTATTCGATATTTGAAGCTTAGGGTTGAAATAAGGGGTCCTTGATGCTCTCTGAGATTGGTGGTTTTCTTGCAGACGTTTCATGACCCATCTAGGGAACATCATCAGCGGTAGAAGAAAGTGGAGTACATGGAGAGGATGATGATGATGAATTTGTGGTCCTTGGTGCTTCCTGAGCTTGGTGGTTTTCTTGCAGACGTTTCATGACCCAACTAGGGAACATCATCAGTGGTAGAAGGGAGTCGGGTTTGCAGAGAGGAGGAAGAGGAGGAAGAAGTAGTAGATGATGACGATGGGATCCTTGGCACTGTTTGAGCTTCGTAGTTTTCTTACAATCATTTTATGACCCAACTAGGGAACATCATCAGTGCTAGAAGGGAGTGGAGTTTGTGGAGGAGGAAAAGGAGGACGAGGACGAGGACTGTGGGGTCCTTGTGATCTCTGAGCTTGATTGTTTTCTTGAAGATGTTTCATGACCCAACTAGGGAACACCATCAGTGCTAGAATGGAGTGGGGCTTACTCTCTGAGCTTGGTTGTTTCACCTACCCAGAAAGGGAATAGCAGGACAGGTGTAATATCTACACCTACTTCCCACATGGAACCCTGCAGTCATCAATGGTGTGGCAGGGGATTCGGGGACTGACATGGACACCTGCTGCCTCTTCCTTGACTCGCTGAGACCACACGTGGCCTGCGCTACTGAAATGTCTTGCGTCGGCCATGCTGGGCCATGCTTGGTCAGGAAGAAACAATGGCCATCTGAACAAAAAATGACAGAGAAGGCAAGATCAGATCAGGAGCTCTTCTTGATCCAAGCGAAGTCCAGTCTTCTGGGACAGTGGTCCCCAACTTTTTCCAGTGCAGACTGCTGGGCAGGGGGGAAGAGGAAATAGATCCACGTGAGCGGTGAACACACACACACATAGCTCCGATTGTGTGAGCAGCGACATTGCACAAATGGACCGGCGCAAGTGCTTACCTGCCACTCATGCGGCCCGGTTCTGAACAGGCTGCATGTTGTGGCCTGTTGGACGCAGCCAAATCAGAGGAGGAGGCGTGGGAGTCAGGGCCAGCATCAAGACAATCTGAGAGCTCCGAGGGGGAAGAGGGAATGGAACTGGCAGAGAGAGAAACAGAGGCAGAGCCTGGGCTGTCTGTCAGCCTCAGATGGAGAGTCAACAGCCCCAGGTCTGGAGGTTGCTGATGAGGAGGAGGAGGAGCAGCTGGGTCTAGTGCCTGATGCGTAGAAGGCAGAGGAGAGGAGAGCAGTGGAAATCTATGGGCCGGTCCTCGGGACGGAAGAGCCACCGCTGCTAGCGAAGCCCCACCCTGGCTCTGGGGATAAAAGGCAGGGGGTGGAGATGAATAGATGTGGCGGACAACTATTCATCTCCCAGCTGGACGGACATGGGAGAGAAACTTTTTGCTGGGGCTGCCGGCGCTCCTAATAAAGGAATCATTGCTTCAACTATAGAGGGTTTGTGGTGTTTGGGGAGCTGGGCCAGAACAGTGTCCCGGGACCGGGCTGTGGCCCGAGGGTTGGGGACACCTGTTCTGTAGGATGAAACCTCTTCATTTTGATCTCCCTCAGCTGGAATGCCAGTCCTTAATGTTAAACAGCCACCTTGCTTCTATCGTCCGTGCGGAAGAGGCAGAGCTACTGGCCAAGTACCTTGATGAAACCTACACTCAACAGTCATCGGTCTGGATTGGGATGTACGAGAACAAAATCGGGACTCCAGAGGCGAGTTTGGAAATTCCCTCCTTCTCTTAGGGATAATTTGTCTTGCACGCTCTCCGGGTCAGGCCTGGCGCGGAGAAAGCGGCAGATTCTCTTTAAAATAACCCATTTGATTGGATCCGAGTAAAGGTGGGCCCTTCCATGAGGATGGGAAGGGACCCCGTATAATCTTCCGGCAAGTATTTACCATAGGTTCCTCCACTTACGACCAGAATTGAGCCCAGAATTTCTTTTGCTGAGACATTTGTTAAACGAATATTGCTGAGTCTTCAGGTAGACTGCCGCTGGCTTTGGAGGCTCTGGTGGTCCGTTCCAAGAGGGAGGGTCTCATCCTTGTGAGCAAGTGATCAGGAGGTGCCTGATAGCCCTATTTCTGACTGATCTGTTGTGTGCAGAGATGTCCACTTTGGGGAGGTTGCTTAGCCCAAGGGTCTTGACTTTGACCCCTATGGTTGGAAGAGTCCCTTGAGGCCATCCAGCCAAGCCCCGCGTAGGAAAGAAACCTCCAATCAAAGTAAGGGAGCCCTTGACTCATAACTTACACTTGAGCGCAACATTTCTGCTGCCAACCGAGACATTTGTTAAGTGAGTTTCGCCCCATTTTACGAACTTTCTTGCCACAGTTGTTCAGTGAATGACTGCAGTTGTTAAGTGAGTAATCTGGTTGTTAAATGAATCTGGCTTCCCCACTGACTTCGCTTGGCAGAAGGTTGCAAGAGGGGGATCATGTGACCCCGGGACGTTGGAATCGCCATAAATAAGAACCAATTGCCAAATTTCTGAATTTTGATCTTGTGACCGTGGGAATGCTGCAACAGTCGTAAGTGTGAAAAATGTTCATAAGTCACTTTTTTTCAGCGGTGTTGTAACTTTGAAAGGTCACTAAATGAACTGTTGTAAGTCAAAGACTGCCTGTAAAGACGGGGTCCTCCCATGAGACTTGGAAGGGACCCCGTATAATCTTCCGGCAGGTATTTCTACTTTATGAGTTATATAACTAAGGAAATACAAGCTAATTTCAGAAGAAAGACATTATTTCCTGTGAAACGAAGAAATTATTAAAATATCCTTCTTGTTTCCTCCCATTAATGAACATAAGCAACTTCGGCAAAGTTACTTTAAGGAAACTACAGGCAGTCCTCAAATTACAACAGCTTGTTTAGTGACCGTTCAAAGTTACAACGGCACTGAAAAAAAGTGAGTCATGCCAACTCACAGAAGACCAACAACATATCAAAGCAGAGGTTGGTTTCAGCAGGTTCTGACCAGTTCTGGAGAACCGGTAGCGGAAATTTTGAGTAGTTCGGAGAACCGGTAGTAAAAATTCTGACTGGCCCCGCCCCCAATCTATTCTCTGCCTCCCAAATCCCAGCTGATCGGGAGGAAATGGGGATTTTGCAGTATCCTTCCCCTGGATTGGGGTGGGAATGGAGATTTTATAGTATCCTTCCCATGCCACACCCACCAGGCCATGCTCACCAAACCATGCCACGGCCACCGAGCCACGGCCACAGAACCGGTAGTAAAAAAATTTGAAACCCACCACTGTATCAAAGGTACACCTGTGCCGGAAGTTGCCTCCAGTGTGATATTAATTAATGATAAACAAGGTGCTTCCCCCCCACTCACCCAAAAAAATAACTGGACTTTCTTGTTATTTTTTCTTCTTTTGAAAATGTTTCGCTTCTCAAGTTCAGTTGTCTTTTGGGAAAAAAAAGCAACTTCGGGAAGTACCACTGCTATTTTGGCCAGGCCCTAGAAACACCGTGATTTCTGGCTTGATATTTTTTGTGTTGAATTTATATTTTACCGACAAAGAAATAAAGGCAGACTAGCATGCCCAGGAACTGTCTTCTTATATAGGAGACTATACTAGTCTTCTTTTCATTAAACTAGACATACCCAACTGAGTATGTCTAGTTTAATAAAAAGGACTAGGGCAGTGGTGGCTGCCCCCGGTTCGCACCGGTTCTATAGGACCGGTAGTAAAACCAGCAGGAGGCTCCGCCCACCGACCCAGACGTCATCAAAATGCTTCTACGCATGTGTAGGAGAGCATGCGCGCGGCCCCATTGTGAACCGGTAGTAAAGGTAAGTAGAACCCACCCCTGGACTAGGGGTGACACGATAGCAGTCTTCCAAAATCTCAGGGGCTGCCCCAAAGAAGAGGGAGTCAAGCTATTCTCCAAAGCACCTGAGAGCAGGACAAGAAGCAACTAAGGAGAACTAAGGAGAAATTTCCTGACAGGGAGAACAATTAACCAGAACAACTTGCCTCTAGAAGCTGTGAATGCTCCAACACTGGAGGTTTTTAAGATGATATTGGATAACCATTTGTCTGAAGTGGTATAGGGTTTTCTGCCTAGGCAGGGGGTTGGACTAGAAGACCTCCAAGGCCCCTTCCAACTCTGTTATTCTGTTCTGTTATAGTATAGATCTATTTCAAGCTAGTTAGCTCTCATCAGCTAGCCATACCCTTTCTGGGATTCGAACCCTGGGCTCCTTGCATATTAGGTAGATGTGTTAACCTCTAAGCCATGGGCTCTCCTCGCTTTGTCAGCTATACCAGGTGAGAGATTAAGTGTTTTTTCCTGTGAGACCAGTCTATCAGGGCAACCTGGTCTACCCAAATATGGGATGGAGCATCCTGCTTCCGCTTTCGCCTTTCAGCCCCAATTCGCAAGCCTTTCTGGCTTGATAGCTTCTCCATGCCAAGAAGCACCTGTGTATCTAATGCGAACGATCCGTCCAAAATTACACTAATTATTCTGTTGATTTCCATTATAAAAGAAGTCTTGAGATTTTGAATTGAAGTCCCCAAAATAAGGCGATGGCCATCAACCCTTCCAAGTAGGTGGATGAGTAGAAATATAGAGTCCTCCTCACGAGAAGACATGGTTATCCTTTGCTCTGTTCTGCTTTGACTAGACCCAATTTGGGATCCTGAATGCAGTTATGGGTACCAGGATTCCAAAATAGAATTCTTTATTCTTTATTGGCCAAGTGTAATTAGACACACAAGGAATTTGTCTTTGGTGCATAAGCTCTCAGTGTACATAAAAGATATAAGTGGTAAATCATGATCGTAGTCAACATAAATACATTCATCATAAATCATAAAATACAACACTTAGTTGTAATACATAGGATACTAAATAAGCAATCAACATAATCAATGATTATGAATGATAATCAACATAAGCAATGAATCATACTAGGAAATTAAATAAAACAATATAGATCATAAAGATACAAGCAACAAAGTTTATAGTCATAAGTAGAAAAGGAGATAGCTAATAGGAAGGATGAGAAGGATGAAAACATCAGGGACCAACTCAGGATCAGAAAGGTATCATATAATCTGCCTTGACCCCCTCTGATGATTCTTTCCAACATTCACTTTCTTCAGAAGAGGTACTTTGAGTGGACGGATGGGACCTCCGTCGATTATACGTCCTGGGCACCAGGAGAACCGCACCACTTAAAGAAACATTGTGCCGTCCTGGGCAAACCAGGTGAGCAGAAGATCTTTTACCATGTACACCTGGAAAACTGAAATATCAGAGGGGAAGTTGGGATCATTCCAGGAGAATCCTTAGTTCCAGAGAAATGGTTTTGACAAGACCGGCTGAAGGGTCTTGACTGTTCACACAGGGGAACAAATTGGAAGAGTGTTGATGGGGCGTTCAGTTCGTTGATCAGGTGATGCCGGTGGGAAGCTCCCAGTCCAAACTAAATAACCTCCATTCTAAGGCATCCAACAGGGATGGGATCATAAAGCCCCTGAAAAGCTAACTCCATGCTGGCTGAGTTTGCAGTACTTTTATTACCTTTATCTCCCTCTCCCTGTCCATCCATCCATCCATCCATCCATCCATCCATCCATCATCTCTCTCATATCTATCTATCTATCTATCTATCTATCTATCTATCTATCTATCTATCTATCTATCTATCTATCTAGAATAGAATAGAATAGAATAGAATAGAATAGAATTTTTTATTAGCCAAGTGTGATTGGACACACAAGGAATTTGTCTTTGGTGCATATGCTCTCAGTGTACATAAAAGAAAAAATACGTTCATCAAGAATCATAAGGTACAACACTTAATGATAGTCATAGCCAGGGGTGAAATGCTTCCGGTTCGGACCGGATCACCCGATCCGGTAGCGATGGAGGCGGGTGGTTCTGAGAACCGGTAGCAAAAATCCCTGCCCTCCCCCCATGCCCAGCTGAGCTGCACAATCATCAGAGGCTTTTTTTTTTACTTTTAAAAGCATTTTTTCTACAACCTCTTCGGACGAAAAAATGCTTTTAAAAGTAAAAAAAAAAATAGCCTCTGATGATCGCGCGGCTCAGCTGGGATCATCAAAGGCTTTTAAAAGAAAAAAACCCTTTTTTTATTTTAAATGCCTCTGATGATCCAAGCTGAGTTGCCTGATCGACAGAGACTTTTTTTCTTTTAAATGCCTCTAACGATCAGGCAACTCAACTTGGATCGTCAGAGGCATTTAAAAGAAAAAAAAAGGGGGGGGGTTTCTTTTAAATGCCTCTGACGATCCAAGCTGAGTTGCTTGATCGTCAGAGGCATTTAAAAGAAAAAAACTCTCTGCAGATCAGGCAACTCAGCTGGCATCGTCAGAGCCTTTTGAAAGCATTTTTTTACAACCTCTTTGCCGAATAGTTTTAAAAATAAAAAAAAAATTGGCCATGCCCACCCAGCTACATTACCCCCACCACTACCAAGCCACGCCCACAGAACCGGTAGTAACAAATTTTAGATTTCACCACTGGTCATAGCTCATCCACCTATCTACCCATTCTTTTTATACCTGTTGAAGTCATGACACTCTTGATGGTTTAGAGTAACTACAATCAAGCAACCATCCACCGCACACAAAGGAGCTGTGTCCAGACATTTAAGTCATCTTAGCCAGTGTAGACTCAAGCTGTGTAATTTGTCAAATATAAAGTTAATTTTCCAGCATCTCTCAATAGATACCTTGATCTGACTTCAGCTGTTATCTCAGTTGAAGAGCAACATCAACAGAGAAACACCAAGAATATGGTAAATGCTGGATGCTTATGGATTTAGGGATCCTTCATGCTCTCAGACTTTGGTTGGTTTCTTGCAGACGTTTCATGACCAAACTAGGGAACATCATCAGTGCCAGAAGGGAGTGGAGTTTGAAGAGAGGAGGAGGAGGAGGAGGAGGCAAAGGGGGACTGTGGGGTCCTTGGTGCTCTTTGAGCTGGTTTGTTTTCATGCAGACATTTCATGACCCAACTAGGTAACATGATCAGTTCCCAGAAGGGAGTGGGATTTGCACCGTTTATACACAAGTTGCCTGCCTTGTCAGTGTTGGTGGGAATGTATTTGGTGGTTGCTTATTTTGTTTGTTTAGTTGGTAGTTCCTTATCAGGCTATTGTTTAACTGTGAACAGTTATGTGGACTTGTCGATAACTTTACCTGTTATCTTCCAGATTACAAACTGTGGGTTACTCGATGGTGTAACAATTATCTTCCCTACCTGTGTAAATTTGAAATATGAAGCGTAAAGGAGGTTCTCCCATAATTCCCAGCAGTTCAAGGAATGGAAGCAAGCTGTCTGCCATATAAATGTTTCTCTCCACTGCATACCAGTGGGACATCCCCTCCATGAATATATGGGCCCAACTTCCTTTTCTCTCTGCTGCATCATGAATGAATCAATTCTATTCCAACTATGAATGTGCTCCAGATTTGTCTCTCGTTCTGTTAAGATATTCATAAGGCGGCCACCACAGATCTCAAAACATAGTGATGAAGGTAACCTGTTTCTGAGTGTCTTTCTCCGTCCTCTTGCTCACAAGGAGAAAGCGGTTGATACAACATCTTGAGGTGTTCTTCTTGAGATGTTCTTCCATAGCATTACCACCACTTCTGTGTGTACTGAAGACCAGGACTGGCACAGGGTCTGATTGAAGAATTCTGCAGATTCCATGGTTGGAGAGGGCACTGGGTTTAATCTACGGGTGAAAGAGACAGCTCTGTGGCAAATTGGAGAAGGCACCGGGTCTAACCTATGGGCAACACAACAGCTCTGTAGCAAATATAGACTTCTGAGAACACATGGCTTGGGGTCAGGCTATTTGAAGGACCTCTCCCCTATTTCATCCACCTGGTCCATCAGGATGGGAAGCAGGGCACGTTGTGGGTCCTATTAATGAGGGTTATAGATCTGGTATCTGTTCCTTTATCTGAGGAAAGTATTCCCTGCATGAGGAACAGTCAACTCTATCACAGGCCTTTTTAGCTACACTTCTAGGTAAATGGAATCACATGGAAGGATTCTCGTATTCATTGCTTTGTCTCCACCTACTTCCATGAGATGAACTCGGGCAGGTCCAAGGGTGGCCTTCAGGGAAAGCTGCACACTCCTGAACTTGAGGGATCTTCTCAAAACTAGTCTGCATATTAGTTGGCCCTTGAGGAAAGGACTTCTGAGATGGTGTGAAGTTCTCCTCAACCGAAGCAATCATATAAGCAGGGTTTTGGTATGAGATAAGGAAAACAAAAGATCTTTGTCCATTTTGACACCCTAGTACTTTTAGCTTTCTGGCCCAGGTTTCTCCTTCCAGCTCGTACTATTTGTTGTTCTTCCATGCTCCGATTCAAATGTAAGATTTGGGGATCGCTGCAAATCAGCTTGATTGAATACGGGCCTATCCCACTGTACAGGGGGAAGGATTGGACCGCTGTACATGGTCCAATCCTTCTCTGATCTGTCCCCGTCCACACACACACACAAACACAGCCAGCCGAGAGTTAAGGAAGCACTTGGCACACACCCAGGTCTTTATCTCCAACTTGGCAGCGATATACACACCGTCTGCCAAGTGCTTTTATTTCCACAGAAACAGAAAGATAATATACTCAGCGTACAAGAGTCCAACAGAAATAATATTCCTCTCAGCAGTTTTTGGACGATGCTTTAGTGACTATCCAAGGTTTATTTTTGTTCGTCACAGGGATCACTGGCCACCACCCTCTATTATATAGTCTCTGGGGTGTGGTCCAGTGACTCAGTTCTAATCCCTAGCACGCCTCCTGAGCTGCTGCAATCGTTTATCACGCCTTCGGAGGCGTGCGTCCAGGAATGATGTCTCTCCTTCACTCTCATCTGAGACACCTGTCTCCCTGCTAATCTCCTCTCCCTCGGCCGGCACCTGAGACAGTGCCAGAGGGGAGGGGCCTGGAGAGGGAGGCCTGGCTGACTCCTCTTCCTCATGCCCGGAGCTTTCTTCCTCCGATGGGACAGGCTCAGAGGGCGGGGCCACAACATTCTCTGTGGCTATGTAAAACAGGTCTCCTGTTGCTGCTGATGGTCGTGATGATGATGACGATGATACAGATTTTTGATTATGCTTCTTGTTTTCCCTCACATTTTGAAGAGAGGTGACTTTCTCCTTCAGTTGGCTGGAGTGGCTTTTCTCCACATGGTAACTATGGTCCATCTCAGCCAGTTCATACTGTGGACTCTGGAGGGGATTCTTAAGTTCTTCAGAAGGTTCCAGACCTCTCCAAGGGCTTTCTGAAAGGCAGCCCTTCTCACATTGGGGGAAGACTCCTTGGCCAGGGACTATGTGCATTTCTTTGTGGAGTTCTTCAATGTATCTCTCTCCCAAAGATTTGTTTTTTTGGCTCTAACTGATGGATCGTTGTGTTGGGATGGTCCAACTTTTCTCTGTTGTCCTCCATGGTTTCCTGCAGGTCTTCTGTTGTGGTCTTAAGTTGATCCACTGTCCGTTGGAGAAAGCTGTGCTGCTCTTTCATCCATTTTTTTTAAAAAAAATTGTCTGGAATTCCTCAGTCTGAAAGTCAAAGGAGTCTCCCAGTTGCTCAACTCAGAGGTGGAGACCTTCACTTAGAGATCACCCAAGGATTTTGACTATAGGAGCGTTTCCCTCCCCCCCCCAAATTGCTGACTTGGTTGAAAAAATGGAGAGACACAATGTCACACCCTGTCTCAGTTCAGGCATCATTTTGCTAACCTGCCTTAAGTCCATACCAGTGGTGGGTTGCCCCTGGTTCGGACCGGTTCTATGGAACCAGTAGTAAAACCAGAGGGAGGCTCCGCCCACCGAGCCCAGCGTCATCAGAACACTTCTGCGCATGTGCAGAAGCTTCTGTGCATGCGTGCAGCCCCGTTGTGAACCAGTAGTAAAGGTAAGCAGAACCCACCCCTGGTCCACACATACCACAAAAGTGGCCATGGTTAAGAAACCTTGACGTAATCCATCAATACTGATCTCTCTTCAAACTATCCTGACTTCCCATTTGATTCTGACTCCAATTCAAGGCGTATCTTCTATCAAAACCCTCCGAAGGAGTCAGAATCGGCTATCAATCAATTCAGCCATCTCTGGTGCTTCTGTTAACAGTAAAAGGTGTTGGCCATTCAAGTTAGGATGGACCCCTTTCCAAGTACTTACGAGTCCCAATGAGATTTGACACCTACATGAAAGTTGCTTTTGAACCATTTGATGGAAGGGAAATTTCTGGCATTGTCATTAGGGAATGACTTAATTAGGGATTATGAACTACTAAAACGGTTTCCTTATCAGATTCCTGGTCTGGAAAAAGTCTTAACTGTCAGAAGTCAAATTAAGAGACTTAGGAAGGGGACCTAACCAAACCTTTTGCTTCTATTTGGATAGCCAAATTGGCCTGCTTACAACAGATCATTTGGTGACAATTCAAAGTTACCAGGGCACTGAAATACCTGGCTTCAACCATTTTTTTCCACATTTATGACCATGGCAGCATCCCCATGGTCACATGATCAAAATTCAGACACTTGGCAATTGACTCGCATTTATGACAATTGGAAGGTCCCGGGATCACGTGATTCCCTCTTGTGACTGTCTGACAGGCAAAGTCGGGGGGGGGATCCAGATTCGCTTAATAAAACGTTATTCACTTAACCACCCCAGCGATTCCTATAACAGCTGCAGCAAGAAAGGTTGTAAAACAGAGGCAACTGTCTTGCTTAGCAACAGAAAATTTGGGACTCAATTATGGTTGTAAGTAGAGGATTGCCTTTAGTCCGTCGAGCATCAGAATTAAAAATAAATATGAAGAACACACTGTCCATTTCCTGATGCCTATTAAACCAAGGAAGTTAGGCTAAATTTAGGTGAAGCTTTACATCAACCTATTGAAGTGTTCAACAATTTAACATGGTTTATAATCTTTGGGCAAACCAAATTAATCATCTGTTTATGCCCACGGGGGAATGCAGAAATTTCCTGCTAAGGCAGCCATTCTGGTTAATGGACACACAAATGTTCCCATAATGAAGTGGACATCCAGCAATTAATGAAATTAGAAATGTTTGTCCCTTGCTATGGTACAAACAGTCAACATTTATTTGAGGCTGGCTGCTCCCTTCCCCAATTCATTAGAGCGACAGTTTCATCCAGTGGACACTCAGTTCAGGAATTGGGGGACAGTTTGAATGTCAGAAAGCCAGAGGGAAAAGTGCCTCCCCCAAAAGTAACATCAAGAACACCCAAAAGAAAGAGATGACAACCCTTTAAAGAAAAAGGGCCAAAAGGGTGAGTAGAAAGAGTAGAAATTCAGCAGAGGCTTTCTTAGCCTGCAAAACTTAGATGAGGGTTTATAAAACTGGAGTGCAGAGGAGGGGGAGAAAAAAAAGAGCAGAGGAATGTACAGAATTAAAATATCTGGTTGGTGCATTAAAAGGAGGGAAAGTGATATTTTGCCTCTAGTGGGTTGTTCAGCATTTTTTTAAAAGAAAGAAAGAAAGAAAGAAAGAAAGAAAGAAAGAAAGAAAGAAAGAAAGAAAGAAAGAAAGAAAGAAAGAAAGAGAGAGAGAGAGAGAGAAAGAGAGAGAGGGAGGGAGGGAGGAAGGAGAAGAAAGAAAGAAGAGAGGAGAGGAGAGAGGGAGAAAGCAGAGGGAGGGAGGGAGGAAGGAAGGAGTGGGAGGGGGGAAGGAAAGAAGAAAGGAAAGAAGGGAGGGAGAGAGGAAGGAAGGAATTGCAAATGTTAGGAAAAAATAAAATTAGTCTAGCATGTTTGGGATTTTTTGGGTGGGGGGGAGTAATGTCATATGCGTAATGACATCATTAGACAAATGCGTAGGCATTGGGTGCAAGACACAAAGGCTTTGCATCCACCACAATGCCATCACACAAGTGATCCAAACAGATGTGGGCCAGTTTGGGTCAAAACAGTTGCAAGCATTGTTAGGGGCAAGTGTCGGCTAGGAACTCAACTATTGTCTTCACAGGTTGTGTGAACCATGTTTTCGTCTTAAATCACGCTAGTTTATTGGTTTGGGCCTGTGGATAAAATCATCCATGACTACATGCCATGGGTTTTCTTAACCTGGATTTAGGAGTTGGGCAAACCCAGCCAGCTGTGGATTAGTGTTTATTTTCCCATCTGTGGAACCAAACCCGAGTTTGTTGATGTAAGCAAAAAGATTAACACTCGAGGATAACAGAACCTGAAGGCTTCCTTGCAATTCTGGGAAAACGTATTCCTTAGACAAACACACACACACACACACACACCACTTACATATACACAACTAATTCCCAACAACTAATTCCCAACACTGTCAAATTATTTACTAAGACTGCATTACTATTCTTCTTCTCATCCTTCCTAGTACCTATCTCCTCCCACTAATGACTATAACCGTGTTGCTTGCATCTCTGCAATTTATATTGTTTTGTTTCCTCGTATGATTTGATTGCTTATTAGTAACCCATGACTATCACTAAGTGTTGTGTCTTATGATTCTTGATGAATATATTTTATTTTTCTTTTATGTACACTGAGAGCTTATGCACCAAAGACAAATTCCTTGTATGTCCAATCACACTTGGCCAATAAAGAATTCTACTCTACTCTACTCTACTCTACTCTATTCACAAACTGATGCGCAGCAACATCTAATTTGCTCCCATGCATCTGCTGTTCTCCCTTGCAACATCCCAATGCATCGCCGTTCTATGTCCATAAACTCTTTGCTAGGAAAGACGGTTGTGGGCCAATCTGCACCCTATGTCCACACCTCCTTCTGACCAGTTGACTTATAAATGGGGCAGGAGGAGGCCATGTCCTGCCCAGAAGGAAGGGAGGCTGCCGTCACACCAAAACACCCCATCCGAATCCAGGCAGGTGAGCCACGTTCACTTTGGGCTCCTGGTTCAGTTCTGGAGAGACTTTGGGTCGCTCTGCGTTTTCCCAACTCCGTTTGAAAATTATTGCACGAACCTCCCTTTGGGAAGATGAAATAAACAGGCTTGAACTTTCAGTGTGGGAAAAATTAAGATATAGGTCGTCCTCAAATTACAGTAGTTCATTTTGCAACCCTTCATTTGCATTTCAGCTCAACTCCTGCAGCCATGTCAGATGATCCTTGGCTCAGCCTTGGTTCTTCTTTCAGCCCCTTCCTTTCCCTTCTCCCGAGCGTCTTCTTTCTCTGTGCTTTCTTCTCAGATGGGAGTGACTTCCTTCTTCCATGGCTGCTTGGTTCTTCTGATTTTCTCCTCCATTTTGCAAGGTAGGTTCTGGCAGCTGAGCTCTGCAGACATGCAAGGCCATCTTAACATGGTAAGACGCCAGCAGGTTTCTGAAAACGCAGTCCTGGTTTCATGGAAAGCAAGTTGCCCATTGAGCTTAGACATCTGGAAGCACAACTGACCTTGAAAAGAAGGAAGGCTGAGTCAACCTTGAGCCGGTCAGGATCGAACTGCTGGCAGTCGGCAGAGTTATTCTGTAATACTGCACTTTAATCACTGTGCCACCACGGCTCTAGTAGCAAGACAGGTAGCCCTCAACTTATGACCGCAATTGGGACCAGAACTTCTGCTATTAAATGAGTCGCATCTGATTTTTATGATCTTTTTTTTGCCATGGCTGTTAAGCAAACCGCTGCAGTTGTTAAGTGAATCACATGGTTGTTAAGCAAATCTGACTTCGGCCATTGACTTTGCTGGTCAGAAACCAGCTGGGAAGATCACGAATGGTGATCACATGACCCCAGGACGCTGCAATCATGAAAAATACATGCCAGTTGCCAAGAGCCCAAATTTTAATCACATGACTGTGGGGATGTTATGACAATTGTATGTGTGAGAACTGGTCCTAAGTCACTTTTTCCAGTGTTGTTGTAACTTTGAATGGTCGCTAAACAAGTAATTGTAAGTTGAGGACTACCAGTATGGCAGAGGAGGCTACAATACCACGGAGAAAGGGAAGGGAGAAGGGAAGTGAACATACTTGGAAGTATGTAATTATTATTCCCTACAGAAGCATGGGGAGTATCTGGTGGAATGATAAAATAAAGAAGGAAGGGGATGGGAAAATGCACACAAGAGATAGAAACCCCCCCCCCCCAACATTTTATAAAGCGTACGTGGAGAAAAATACTGGTATACTGTGAAGTCAGAGAGAACCAGGAATAGTTAAAAACAATATCTTTTTTTGATGGAAATAAAACATTGTTTTGTGGTCGGTTGAAAAGGGCTAAACAAGAAGCCTCCAGCTATATGAATGGACTCAAAGTTATACATTTTATAATACTTTATAACTTAATAAAAATGTTTTTTAAAAATATAAAAAAATAAAACTGGTGGCATGATGTCAGGGAATTGCGCAGCACGTATCCAAATGGTCAGAGACACTGGTACGAACCAGTAGTTTTATATACATAAATTTATTTTACATCTATGTATAGCAAGCTATAGTCAGGCGAACAGCAAACTAGACAGTCAGGCGAACAGGAGCATCATGAGATAAATCACAGGGCACACAAGGCACACAGAAGAAAAAGGTGGGGAGGAAAAGGGAAACTCCTCCTCCACATCCACAGCAACCAATCACAGCGCAGATTGCCTCATGCAGGAGCCAGCTGTCTTCACTCAACCACAATTGTGTGTTCTGGCCCACTGCACAACCTCACTGCTCCAGCTACTTCTCATCTTCTGATCCAACTCCCTGCTCAATACCATCTCAGATAACAACATAACAACCGCTATTCCTTCAAACAGCCAGGTTCTTGAGATGTTGGTTTCCAGTATGTCCATGAGTTTGACCTCAATTTTGATCTATCGTTGAGATACACCCACCCAGACTTCATAATACATGTTGCCTCAGTTTCATGGACCTCACCACCCCCAGCATACTCCTTGAGACTCACTTTGTTCCTCTCACGTTGAACTCCAATTTCCAGGGTTCCTGCCGGCCTCACCCTACTCATAGAGTGATAAAGTAACAGGGCTGGAAGGTTAACATAACAGAATAACAGAGTTGCAAGGGAACTTGGAAGTCTTCTAGTCCAACCCCTTGTTCAAGCAGGAGAATACTATATTATTCCAGACAAACCTCCTCTTAAGAACCTCCAGTGATGGAGCACCCACAACTTCTGGAGGCAGGTCATTCCACAGATTAATTGTTCTCCCTGTCAGGAAATTTCTTCTTACTTCTAGATTGGTTCTCTCCTGGATTAATTTCCATCCATTGCTTCTTGTTCTGCCTTTCTGTGTTCTGGTGAGCCCCTCTCTTCTTTGTGGTAGCTCTGTAGATATTGGACATTGGATTATGGTTGCCATTGTTCTCCGTGTCTACTCTGTCCACCCTTCCAACTTGTTCCTTGCATTCTCTTTCCACTGCCCTTCACTCCTTTTTCTTTTCCTCAAGGTGTGGATGTTCTCTTAAGATCTTGAAATCTTTCAGGAAGTTCCATCCATCTTGAATTGTTCCATTGTTCCATTCTTTGCAGCATTTGTGTTCCATTGCCCCAAAGACTGGATGCCCTATAAAGATCATTGCTATAAATTCTTTGAAGACTTTCTACCTTGGCTTCAGGCAGAGGTAAGTGATGGTAGTGAGTGGTTGGAGAGCCAAGCTTGTCCTGCCCTCTTCTTTGTGGCAGCTCCTCAAATACTGGAATACTGATAACATATCACCCCTAGTCCTTTTTTTTCTCTAGAACAGGGGTGTCAAACTCAAGGCCCGGGGGCCGGATTTGGCCTGGGGGCTGAATTTGGCCCACAGGGTACTTAAATCTGGCCTGCTGGGCCACCCTGGAAACAGCAAACGACCAGCTCGTGGTTTCTCCGCCCGGCCCAGGCCGATCAGGCACTGATCTACAACCTGGTGGTGGCCCTTTTTGTTTGTAGAGTGTTGCAGGAGGCCATTGCAGCTGAAAATGGGGCACAGGAGGGGCGCACAGGGCCTCCCGAGCTCCGTTTTCGCTGGCAGAATGCTAGCAAAACAAACTTGCTTGTCCTCCGCTGCCTAGGGCTCTGGACAGCCTGTTTCTCCCTGGTCTCACCTTCCTCTGCTGGAGACAATGGATCCCCTCAGCCCCGCCCAGACCACCACAGGCACCCCCGACATGAGTGATGTCAAACTGGCCACAACCACCAGGCCCCCCAAGGTCAAACATAATCCCGATGCGGCCTTCAATGAAATTGAGTTTGACACCCTTGCTCTAGAACAGGACATCCACATTCATATGTGGTGGCTGTTGAGAGTCTGCAACCCCATAAATCTCTCCTGTCCTCTTCCCAGATCCCCCTTAACTGGCTGCTATTATCCTAACTGCTGCCTGCCAATCCCGCATTTAAACCCAGTGTTGTGTGAGAAAGTTTTTCCTTTGGCTGGTTCTGAATTTGAGTTTAGGTAGAAGGCTGAGCATGAACATGGTGAGACAGGGAGAAGCTTCACCAGATCGATAAACATATTTTTCAACCTCAGCAACTTTAAGATGGGTGACTTTCAACTCCCAGAATTTCCCTGCCAGCATGTTTTAAGATGGGTGGACATTTCCATCCAGCAGTCATGCATTTAGCAATAGCAATAGCACTAAGACTTATATACCACTTCATAGAGCTTTATAGCTCTCTCTAAGCAGTTTACAGAGTCAGCCTCTTGCCCCCAACAATCTGGGTCCTCGTTTTACCGACCTCGGAAGGATGGAAGGCTGAGTCAACCTTGAGCCTGGTGAGATTCGATCTGCCAAACTGCTGGCAGCCAGTGATCAGCAGAAGTAGCCTGCAGTACTGTACTCTAACCACTGCACCACTGCGGCTCATTTGCAGCCATTTGCAGAATCCCACGGTCATGTGACCAGAATTTACAAAATTTTTGGTGGAAACCGGTGTTTACTTCTGGTTTTCAGCAAAAACTGCCCCACAATGAACACAAATTCTCTTAACGACTGTAGTGTTTGCTTAACATCTGCTGTAAAAAAAAGTCATAACATTAAAATAAAGTGATGATTCACTTTACAACCTGATGACTTGCAATTGTACTTGTCAGGCTCAATTATGGTCATAAGTCGAGGACTACCAGTTGTCCAAATCTCACATTCTTGCTGAATATCAAGTTTGAAGTAGAATATTGAAACCAGAGAATTATTGGGAGCAATATAAAAATGTCTTGAGGTTTCAGGTGAACACTTCAATATATTATTAGATGTCATTTTTTTTCATTTCTAAATTTTAAAATAATATGATTTTAAAAAACAACGAATTTCGAAGCCGTACAGACAGCTTTTGGCTGATAAATTATACATGATCAACAAAACACTGGGTAGTGACCGGGTGGTTTCTTTTGAGGGACCCAGTCATGCTATAGCACCTTCTACTGAATTGAAATACGAAAGTAAAAGCCCAGAAAAAGCTAAAATTTGCAATTGTGGTTCAATGATCGTTCCAGTAAATTTGACTTCATGCTTGTTCTCCAATGAGAAATCAAACTTGGGAGAACTTTGTTGACTGGGAGGAAAGTTCTAAGTAGGTTTTGGATGCTGCTTAAAAATAAAAGATCTCGTTCCACTCCAATGCAAATTATGGAGGAGGTCTTTTCGCTGTTGATTTCCATCCCATTGTCCTTGATAAGGTCAGTACTAACCGGGTGTTGACCCATTGTTCTGACCCAGCTCCCCAAACAGGACAAACCTTCTGAAGTGAACTCAAAAGATTCCTTTATTAGGAGCACCAGCAGTCCCAGCAAAAAGTTTCTCTCTCACTGCAGGCTAACAAGTCAGTCTGACAGGGAGATGAATAGTTGTCTGCCACACCTATTCATCTCCGGCCCCTGCCTTTTACCCCCAGAGCTCAGGTGGGGCTTCGCTAGCAGCGGTGGCTCTTCCGTCCCAAGGACTGGCCCATAGATTTCCACTGCTCTCCTCTCCTCTGCCTTCTGCGCATCTGTGCGTCAGGCACTGGACTCAGCTGTTCCTCCTCTTCCTCATCAGCCACCTCCAGACCTGAGGGCTGTTGACTCTCCACCTGAGGGCTGATGGATGGCCCAGGCTCTGCTTCTGTCTCCTTCTCTCTCCCTCTTCCCTCTTGGAGCTCTCAGGTTGCCTTGATGCTGACCCTGATTCCCACGCCTCCTCCTCCTCTGATTCGGCTGCTGGAGGGGCCGACGGCCGACAGGCCATCATCTGAAGACAAAACAATTTCACCAAAATGACAAGAGATCCTTTGGAGCACCTGAGATGAAGCAACTGAAAGAGAAAATAATAAAGGATGGTCATGATGGAACCGGAACATCAGGGATAATCAGAACAGGTGGACAAAGAGAAGCTTTTCTTCATACAGGTCCTGAAACATTCTAGACCAGTGTTTCTCAACCACAGCAACTTGAAGATGGGTGGACTTCAACTCCCAGAATTCTCATGTCTCATTGAGGGAATTCTGGGAATTCAACTCTGCCCATCTTGAAGTTGCTGAGGTTGAGAAACATCGTTCTAGGCTAAAAAATTACAGATGGGAATCGCCACCCAGAGTCCGTGTTGGGTTGAATAGCCTTATAAATGTAAATTATAAATAAGGAAGGAAGGATGGGAGAAAAAAAGAAAAAAAAAGCAAAGATTAGCAGGTGCATCAAATGCTGTCTTTGCTTCTTTCAACTTCTTACTGGCCATCTCCACCCAACCACCATTCTCTTGGTCTTCTTTGCTTCTTGATCCATTCTGCTATCTCTTCCTTGCAAACCTCATTTATATCCTCCTCCCCCAGGGGTGTCAAACCTGATTTCATTGAGGGCCGCATCAGGGTTGTGTTTGACCTTGGGAGGCTGGGATGGGTGTGGCCAGGGTGGGCATGGCCAGCTTGACGTCATGCGTGTCAGGGATGCCTTTGGCGGCCCAAGAGCTCTACCAGTGAAAACGGTCTCCCAAGCTCCATTTCCAGCTGTGACAGCTTCCTGCAACCCTCTGCCAGTGAAAATGGAGCTCGGAGGTGTGTGTGTGCATGTGGCCCTCCCAAGCTCCATTTTTGCTGGCAGAAGCACTGCGGGTCCTTCGCTGCTTCCAGGGTGGCCCCACGGGCCAGATCTAAGCACTCCCCGGGCCAGATCTGGCCCCCAGGCCTTGAGTTTGATATCCCTGTCCTACACTCTTTCTTTCTTCTAGCCCCTCCCTTTTGTCTTCAATTCCTTTAGCACCCAAAGACTCTTGAACCTCTTTCTTAAGTACCCCATGCCCATTGCTTTCAGCTCATCAGCAGTAGATATCATTCTACATTGACTTCTTCCATTTATTTCTCTCTGGTAGATTCCAAGTCACAATCGAAGCTGGGAAGCACTGTCTAGAGATGTTGGTATAAGGTTGGCCAACACAGCCAGTGGATGTTGATGAAGCCTGCTAAAGCTCGTGGAGAGATGACAAATCCTCCCACCAGTTCTTCAGGATGAAATCCTCTCCTTGTTTTTGGTCTCCTGCAGGTAGACTGCATAGTTTCTGAAAAGAACAGCCATCTTCTCTCTATCCCCGATGAAACAGTGATGAGCAAAATAAATGAGTGGCTTCTTCCTATTCAAATCTCACAGCCCATTTGGATCGGACTGTACAACCTCAAAGGAGGGAAGGTCAGTAGGGGCTGTCATGACTGGCAGTGCCCAGTAGGGGGGGTCAGTACGGGTCCAGCTGCCAGAAGAGTCTCTCAAAAAAGGTCAGGGAGCAGCTGCAAAATGGTACAGATTTGTCCCAGTGTTGGAAAGCACATTCCAGAAAGCAGAAACTTCCTTAAAAACCATAGATAATTGTGAACATTTTAATCCATAACCTTTTTGCAAGTTGATAAAATACAAATTCCCTGCAGTGAATATTCAATAAAGTATAATTCAAATAGAAGCACTTTCATCATTCAGAGGTAGGTGCCGTGTTTTATCAGCAGAAGCTGATAAAAACAGTCAAATAGATCAAAAAGCAGAAAAAAAATAGATAAAATCCAGCAGAGGATTGAAATAAATCAGCACCAGCCAATTAAGATTTAAAGCTAGAAAACAAAACAAACATTCAGAAGGTTTCATTGTTTACAAGAATGTTTGGCTGATAGGAAAAAAAATGACTTTCCAGCTGCTCCCATAGGTAGCTGCAATCTTCAAGGTTGCCCCTTCCGGGTGTGTCCACAATGATCCAAAATTCATCTTAGGCCATTCCTTGTTGCACCATTCAATTCGAGGGAGCAAGATTGCCAGAAAACCAGCTCTGGCAGCAAAAACAGATGATCATGGGAAGGAAAAGAAATTCTTCCTACCCAGTAGCAGCCATCTCGGGGAGGAGTCTCCCCAAAAGCTACTTTTGAGCACAGAAGCTTCCCAACCACTCCCTGATTCTGGGGGCCAGAAAGGCAGCTGAAGGCATAGCAATTTTCTCCCCACCTTTGTTCTTTGCAGCGACGTTGGCGATGGACAGATATGTCTACATCAATTTACAGAAACTGGAACAACTTAGAAGACGCCAATAATAATAGGGACAAGAATTGTGTCATGATGGCCTACACTGCAGGTAAGGCCACCTTTCCACGAAGTGAAAGAGCTTGGGTTTTACAGACATGTAGCCGTGCCCCCTCCCAGAATTCCTTGCTATTCCCTGCTCCTGGAGCCAAAAAAATGGGTGGTTGCAGCAATTCCTAAACATTCGGAGTGGGCTGGTTCAGAGGAGGACATTTTAAGGGAGGGAATTGTGTGGGATGGTGCTTGATTTTGAAATGGGATCAGAACTATCAAGATCCCATCTAAGTGGTGCATCAGGGCCAGAGAGAGAAACCCTTTTCCTCATATTTTTCTTATCTGTTCTCATTCAGTCTGATGTAAGAGAATTAGCTTTCTCTAAAGAGAAGAATCCCATGATTTTGTCCCAGATGGAAGGCAGACATCTGGCCTCTTTTTTAGACTCCATGTAGCTAAGAGTTAGGGTCTGTTCTCCAGTGCATCATCTTCTCCCACCTTCTGCCCTAAGGAAGATCTCTGGAGGAAACTCTCCTTTTCAGTAGCAGGGCAATTCGCTGAGCTAATGGTGAGTCCTAACTTTGAGAAACATTTTTGGGGAATCAATCTGTTTTCCAAAACACCTGAGGGCAAGACAAGAAGGGCAACAGGGCACGGCTTGATTTGTTTTGTCTTGGTTTGATATGGCTTGGCTTGGCTTGCCTTGGTTGGGCCTGGCATGGCAGCCTTCAGGGCAAACTCCAAGTCCAGAAGGAACGTACCTTCAGGGTCTTCCTGAATTGAGGGTGAAAGTCTTGCAGATGTAGGCAAGAGGGATGTCTCCAAACTTTGATGCAGGGGAAACTGGGGAATGGGGGGGTGGTGGTGGAAGTGGAGGGAAACTGATCCTGTAGCAGAAAAAGTGAGGTGAAGCCCCCACATGGTGAGTCCTCTTCAACTTTCCAGTCATATTTATAACCATCAATTCCTAGTCACCACTTCAGCCTGTGGTGCTTAACCACAAACATTAAAAGAACCCATCCTTGATGAAACAGTCAGAAAATATGGCAAAATTTCAGAATGCCAGAGGAGCTGAAGGCAAATGTCTTCAACACCTTTTTATAACCAACTAGAGAGGAACTCAACTCCACTTCTTAGAAAAATGCAATAAATATTGCAGCCGGTTTCAATTCTAGATCGGGTTTCGTACAAAAGCAAGATGTCCACTCCTTGAATAAACACATTTTTAGGGGGTGAGAGCTGCATTTTCCATCTCACTGGGTTTCCACTATTTGGGAAGTAAGTAGGAAAGAACAATTAGGAAAGTCTGACCAGCCCCACCCCTCTCTCTTCTTCTAGGTGCCCTGAAGTGGTATGCTGAAAATTGTTCCCTTCCATTCAACTATGTGTGTGAAATGTGACCCCGAAGGATTGCAGCTGTTCTTCCAAAGGCAAATGGCATTGACTTGAATGGTAACTTTTTCTTTCCAGGGCCTCCAGTTCAATCCAGTCCATGTTTGCAGCTCTGTTGTATATCTGATTGACCTTTCTCTTGGCTGTGATACTGTTGAATAAAACACCCTTCCAAATAACACTTGTGACTCTGAGTTTGCCTCTTTAGAGAAGATGTACCCAGCAGGTAGACATCTGGGGCATCTGCCTTGGTCTTTTCCTCAAGGAAAACAATTCCAGACATGGCTCTGATGGGAGTTAGGCTTCCTTTGATAGAAGATGGGGACCTGTTCTTCAGAAGGCTGGGACTGAGTACAAGGAACACACAAGCTACAACCGGGAGGCAGAAATGACATCTGATTCAGTATTCCTCAGCATCTTCAACTTTAAGCATGTGGACCTCAACTGCCAGAATTCCCCAGCCAGCATGTTTTGCTAGAAATTGGAAGTAAATGCCAGAAGTTAGCAAAAAATGCAAACTATTATGGGATGTTGCAAAGTAACCTGGTCAAAGTGAGCTGGTTACCGAACAACCAAAATGCAATCACATGAGTTGGGCGGGCAGAGGAGGCACACCCATTGTAATTTTGAAATCAGACTGTAAGTAGCATAAGTATAAGGGAATCTGTCATAAGTACGAATAGTTACAAAGCAACCAGTGATAAGTCACAGTTTCACAGACACATAACCTTCCTTCCTTCCTTCCTTCCTTCCTTCCCTCCTTCCTTCCAGCTGATGTGGTTCCTATTTTCAAAAAGAAATAAATGGATCTAGGAAACTGCAGATCAATCAGCCTGACATCAATACTTGGGAAGATCATAGAAAAGATAAGCAACTGATCTGCGAACACCTACAAACAAGCAAAGCTATTACTAGAAGCCCACATGGGTTTGTCAAAAACATATTATGCCAGACAAACCATTTGCATTCTTGACAAAGTAACTAAATTCACGGACCAGCAAAATGCTGAGGACATTGTATACTTGGATTTCAGTAAGGCATTTGATAAAATAGACCGCAATCTTATTCTTGGTAAAATGGAAAAATGTGAGATAGACAACATCACCATCAGATAGATTTATAACTAGCTGACCAACCACACTCAACATGTGGTCCTCAATGGAGCTGAACCTACATGGAGAGAAATACATAGCGGGGTACCTCAAGGCTCTGTCTTAGGCCCAGTACTCTTCAATTTCTTCATAAATGAATTAGATGAGGAGATAGGTGGTGAACTCATCAAATTTGCAGACAACACCAAGCTGGCAGGAATAGCCAACACTCCAGAAGATAAGCTCATATATGAAAGATATATGAAATTCAATGGTGAAAAAGTAAGGTTCTATATTTAGGCAAGTAAAACCAAATGTGCAGGTATAGAATAGGTAGTATCTGGTTCAGTAGTAGTAATTGTGAGAAGAATCTTGGAGTCCTAGTGGACAATCATTTAAATATGAGCCAGCAGTGTGTGGCAGCAGCCAAAAAGGCCAATGCAGTCCTTGGTTGCATTAACAGAGGGATAGAATCAAAATCATATGAAGTGTTAGTACCACTTTATACTGTACTGGTAAGACCACACTTGGAATACTATATCCAGCTTGGTCATTATGATACAAAAAGGATATTGAGACTCCAGAAAGAATGCAGAGAAGAGCTACAAAGATGATTAGGGTACTGGAGGCTAAAACATACAATGAACTGTTGCAGGAACTCGGTATGTCAAGTCTAATGAAGAGAAGGACTAGAGTGATATGATAGCAGATCCAGGAAGAGGTATAACTGGTGCACAACCTTGAATTGAGCAAAGCCCCTCCTAGTTACCTGTTCCTCAAGCAGGAGTTGCATCTAGGAGGACCCTCAGATTACATACTAGAATTGTCTGGTGCAGTATTATAGTCTACCCCTGATGCTTCTGGATGTTCTCTTCAGCACTTTTCCCAGATCTGTTCTGTCTTTTCTCCAACATGGCAATCAAAGCTATAAGCATGAGTCCCGTTGTAGCCTTAACATCTCTTTCCTAATGATTCTGAGCAAGGATTTGCTTTCCCCCCACAACTTCTGCATACCGAGACAAGCATCTTCACTGTGCTTCTCTTGGCCCTTTGAGGTAGGCTAAATCAGAAAACAGACACACTAAAACTCAGCTTTTCAAAATCTAGGCTATAATAATAGAATCTTGAAAGCACATTCCCCTTTCCTTCCCTCTTATACCAAAAAAAGTCAAAGCAGAGCCATCTCGAGTTTTTTTCACACGGTCTTGTTTTCCTGAGTGTTGAATATTATCTTCCCAGCCATCTCTTCTATAGCTTTTGAGGATGGCCCCATTATTTTTTCCCCGTGGTTAGCTATAGACAACTTTTGATTAGCTCAAAGTGCTCTACATGGGGTCAGAGTTAACCTTCAAAGACCATCTGGAACCTTTAATTGGTCCAGAATGCAGCAGCATGCACAGTAATGAGGGCCCCTAAGTTTGCAATCCCTTGGACTGCAAGGTGATCCAACTGGTCAGTCCTAGAGGAGATCAACCCTGACTGCTCTTTAGGAGGCCAGATCCTGAAGAGGAAACTCAAATACTTTGGCCACCTGATGAGAAGGAAGGACTCACTGGAGAAGAGCTTAATGCTGGGAAAGATTGAGGGCAAAAGAAGAATGGAATGACAGAGAACAAGGTGGCTGGATGGAGTCAATGAAGCAGTTGGCATGAGCTTAAATGGACTCCAGGGGATGGTAGAGGACAGGAAGGTCTGGAGGAACATTGTCCATGGGGGTCATGATGGGTTGGACATGGCTTTGCAACTAACAACAAAAAGTTTGCTCATGTAACACTCTGTTGTACAAACTGCACTGGCTTCCAGCTTCTTTCCAGGTGCAACTCAGGATGCAGGTCCTCACCTTTAAAGCTCCCCAGAGCAGAGAGACAGGTGACCTGCAGGACATCTACCCATCCTACCAGATCAGATAGGGTGGGCAGGCTCCTGATCCTTTCCCCTAAATATTGCCATCTGATGGGAACTAGGAAGGGTGCCTTTTTGGTGGCAACTCCTGCCCCATGGAACACCTTGGGGCAGGAGCTGAACTATACACTCTGAGGTTTGGCAGACCTCCACCCTTTTAGTCTTCCATAAGAAAGACCTGGCTTTCTCCCCAAGCATTGGGAGAAAATTAGAGGATCATGTATTAGAACACATTTTCACCCGTGTTTTGTTGCTGTTAATGATTTTTATTTTAAATAGTGTTTCATAGTTTTTAAAACAATTTTGTAAGTCTTTTTACTTTTGATTCGGAGTGCCCAGAGTTGGATAAAAGATGGGTGGCTATATAAATACTTTGTATAGATACAAATAGATATAGGTACCTAATCTATATATCCATATATCTATATATAGCTATATAGTGATAGAGAGAGGGGGGAAGGGAGGGAGAGAGAGAGAGAGAAACAGAGAGCGAGAGCACGAGAGATTGATTGGCAGCATGGAAATATAAAGGTTCTACTAAATGCGCCTTACTTTAGCATTACATAGGTTGAACAGCCTCCCTACCCTTCTAACAAGATCACCACTTGGTTGTCTTTTCCTCCAAACTCTTCTGGAGCCCTTTCCTTTTATTCATCACCCTGATTCATTTAGCACCATTTGCAAATCTGGCCAACTCGGTGTCAAGATCACTGAAGTCAAGATCATTTATGAGCAAGGTGGAAAGTGCCCATGTCATCACAGACATGCTGGCCTCTGGAATTTCAATCTTTGGATGGACTGCACATTGATGGTGAATATGGAGGAGCTTGTTTTTCAACATCATTGACCATAGCTGAACAAGAGCTCATCTTTTAATCTGGGGCAATATGTTATTGTTAAGTACTGATAACCAATGTACAGGAGTGGATATGCAAACTATTAAACATATTGTGTAAGATGTCCCCACCAGGTGCATTCTCTGATTCCCTAGAAAATCTGCATGAAGCCACACCAGAGGTGATCGCCTGGATGTCCAGTTATGAGGCCATTGCTGTATCCCCTAAGAGGTTTTGTATATAGTTACATGGATTGTGTGAATATATTTACTTCTCTTAAATAATCATCATCATAGATGTGTTAAGGACAATAACATCTTTTTGTATGACTGGACCTTTTCAACATTCAATTCTGTCGGTCGCAGAGTGTCTAGGTGTCCTTCTCAGACTTGGCCAAGCCAACATGTTCCCTCTTGTCTGAGCAGTTGTTAAGTCGTGTCTGACTCTTCACAACCCATGGACTGTAGCATGCCAGGTCTTTGTCCACTGTATCCCAGAGTTTCCTTGTTCATTGCTTTGATGATACTATCTAACCCTCTCATCCTCTGCCACCCCCTTCTCTGGTGCCTTTCCCAACATCAGGTGTTTTCCCAGGAATCCTCTCTTCTCATTAGGTGGCCAAAGTATTTGAGCTTCAGCTTCACTATCTGTCCTTCAAAAGAACAGCCAGGATTGCTTTCCTTGAGGATTGACTGATAGGATCTCCCTGAAATCCAAGGGATTTTCAAGAGTTCCCAACTTGAAAGCAACAGCAATAGCATTTATACTTATATACCATTTCAGCTCTCTCTAAGTGGTTTATAGAGTCAGCATCTTTCACCCAACAATCTGGGTCCTCATTTTACTGACCTCGGAAGGATGGAAAGTGGAGCCCACCTTGAACCAGTCAGGATTGAACTATCGAACAAGTGGCAGTCTGCAGTCAGCAGAATTAGCCTGCAATACTGCATTCTAATACTGCGCCACCATAGCTCTTAATAAGATCAATTCTTTGGTTCTCAGCCTTCCTTATGGTCCAACTCTCACAGCCATACATTGTTACTGGGAAAACCATAAATTTGCCTATATGGACCTTTGTCAACAAGGTGATGTCTCTGCTTTTTAACATGCTGTCTAGGTTTCTCATAGCTTTCTTCCCAAGGCGCAAGCATCTCTTAATCTCATGGCTACAGTCGCTTTCTGCGGTGATCTTGGAGCCCAAGGAAATAAAATCTGTCACTGCTTCCATTTCTTCTCCTTCTATTTGCCAGGAAGTGATGGGATCAGATGCCATGATCTTATTTTTTTCCCAATGCTGAGTTTCAAGTCAACTTTTGCACTCATCAAGAAGCTCTTTAGTTTTTCTTCAGT